ACTTCTCAACATGTGTGACCACCTTGAGCTATGTAGAATATCTCGGAAATCCATTTTCACATCCAGCTGCCTCTAAAAACATCCCCTGTTTAATTAAAATTTGGGTCTAAGATGCATTTTTAAATAATGAGGTTACTCTTCACCCAGTATTGAAAAATCTGCCTTTATTTACTATTTACAACTGGGATCGATAAAAATGCAAAAGTGCAATTCACGTGACTCGATAAAACTACTAATCAATCTCAATATATTCGATTGAGTAGATGAATGAGGGAATTCTCACTGCGAAGACTATGTGAATCATCGATTCGGAACTGAAATGTACTTTTTGAGTAGAAGGGGGTAATTATGACAAATAACCTCGCATGAATGTTATAGTATAATAATAAGCTTATTTATTTACCGATCGTATTAAGTATATGAACGAGACAAAGGGACGCATAGCTTTCAAAAGCCAGTAAATTAAAATGGGGCTCTGTGATAGCTAACGAAAAGAAACTCGCGATTTTCCCATCATTTTCAATCTTTAAATGGCAAACTTTGGTTCCAAAAAAGGTATGTTTGCGTAAAAACTTCAACTTCATTTCATTCGTCATATTGAGGATGAACATGAAAGATGAACTCATTTGGTATTGGATAATAGTCTAATTATGTGGAAGTAGGAAAACTGTCCAGACTTCAAAAACACTCTATTCGGAGAATCAAGATATTCCTTACATCCCTGAGTCCCGAAATTTGTTATTTTTAACCAATATGCTCTAAAATACGGAAAACTCATCTCTAACATCCATCTTGGTTAATTAAAATCGCAACAACAAATTCATTGTTTAAAGTAGAGCACCTATTATGGCAGTTGGCGCTAATGTCTCATCACGGTGACGTAAATTTATCGCTCAAGGTTCCCCTTTCCAGGTTAAATAAATGACGCGTGATTACTTTAACAAATAAATTAGCGCCTAGCAATAAATCATGTGAGGAGATTGCAAATTATTTTTTTTTGAAAAAAAATGCGCAGAATACATAATTAAATCAATATTAATGCTTTTTCTCAAATGACGAAAAAAACATCGCAGACAATGAAACGGAATTGTTTCTCCTACTCTTCTTAATTGTGTTTGGTGATATATTAAATCGCAATAAAAATTGTATATAACCGAATATATTATTTTCTGGAGAGAAATGCCCAAAAAATTAAAGAAAGAGAATTGCTAGTAAAGCAGTAATCCGATGTCAATCGAGGTTCCAAATCTACCGTTTCTGCAACGTGTACGAGAGTAAAAAGACTCACGGACTTACGGATTTTTACACGTTC